TATTATTAACCTTAACACCTCTACAGTGATTCCTGCCCGTTTGGCTGTAAACCGAGGGATCCTTCTGCCTAACCTTTACTGTCTTAAAGGAAAGAACATGCTCGAGATTGGTAATTTCGTGTGCTAACGTTCATAGTCAACGCCAGCGATAGATAATGTACAATTTTCGCCAGGCTTGCCACACCCAACACCACATAAATAACGTCAGGCGTGGGTAGCGTGAATTGATCTAGATGCAGAACGGACTGGCTGCACTTCCGCGTAACCTTGTGCTGTGGTCTAGGGTCATTCCAGTAACCAGTCGCATAATGACAAGTAGTCAGTGAGCTAAACGTATTGCCGACAAGGATAAGGGAGTCTGGCGCGATCACTTCCGATTCTGTTTTGCCGCTATGACCGGAAGGTCGAACCAGTCTGCGCATGGGCAGTGTGCGAGATAGACTGCTATATCTGACTGAGTACCTCTATAGTCAATGGTGCTCCTCGGGTAATACTTCTTATGAATATATTATTTTATTTTTATTTTTTTACGTTTACGGACAGTATGTCCACATAAGTGTGTGACAAAAAGTAATCTTAGGCTTTAATTAACGAAGAGTCGTCGGTCGTTTTAAGGTAGCCGATTGTTAACTTTGTATGGGTTTTCCCAAAGCAATTGTCATTTTTAAACTTGAAAATACGGATGACCGATGTTCTTCAAGTTTCCGAAGCGCAACGCCATATTATTTACCTCGCAAAGCCTAGTAACGACTGCTTGACCTATTCAATGGTCTTCAGACCCACCATGTATGAATTTTCCCCAGGGTTTATTTATTGAAGACCACTTAAAAAAGGCTTCACAAGAATAATGTAAGGAAAACCAGATAACTGCCTATAGCTATGAATAAGTAAAACCCTGCTAGAGCTCTTTTTTCCACCTTAGATAGAGATTATAGGTCTGGCAGGAGAAGATGCAGTCACTGGAAGAAGAGGTCTATTGGTATGCCACTTAGGATTCTAAGTCAAATTCAGCGTCAGAGACAACCACAGACCGTGTTGATAGAGGCAGAGAATGCGCAGTATTTGTGCTCCATATTGGCCAGGTGACCACATGTATCCTTTAATTAGGAGTCCTCATGATAACAGCTGGCTGTCGTGATTCATGCTATGATGAACTGGCCGTCCGCGTCCGAGTCTTTTATGTACGCGGATTCAACCTCATGTTGGATGGTGGCCGGATAATAACGCAATAATTTGGGTCGCTGTCATTGAAAGTATTTTTGGTCCATGCTTTTCCCACGTAACTGATTCCTCTGCTAAGACAAGGTCCCGGTAAATATTACGGGGACGGCAAGTCATTACGCTTGTCTTGGAACTACAAGCGGTAAAATATGACTCGAGCATCTCGCGACTCACGCGGTTTTTGCCTCTTGCGAGGAAACCTAAAAATAAGGCCGGGCCTCGGTGAATGAGCTGTAAAATGCTATCTAGCAACTTTTTACCCATCACTGTTGCATGCTCGGCCATTCGCGTCAGCGCAATCACCCGGCTTCTCCAGCATAATTGCTTTGTGCCCAACTGCACCAGATCCGGTTACGACGCCAGACATTTCCTGTCGTGGCATTGGACTTTTCGTCCTCATGACCCGTTGCCTGATGGTTGCCTCCGGCAAATGTGCAACCGCAACCCCAAGTAGAGCGAACTGGCGATTGATGGTTTCCGTGATGTCCTTTGCGTACAGAAGAACTTGCCAACGGTTAGAGCTAATGGGGTTTCTTTCTCAGATCGTTCACGTGTGCACCGGTTGGCGAAGTTTCACGGGCAGGTATTCACTCTCAATATCCGTCGTCAGCAACAATGCATTTTATTTTATCGCACTGTAAGAATCCGAACCGTCAGGCCAATAAAAATCTGCTGGCTAAGCTGATCGAATCATCTCAGGTCTTTTTCTACATTGGTGATGGAGTTTATTACGTCGGTTAGCGTTGTGATAATACTTTCTAAGCGGTCAATCTCAGTTGAGATTATTTAAAGGAAACGTAGGTGTGTACTCCTCAACTCCCTGTTTATTTACATGCATGTTTTTGATACCTGACGTTTCAGGGATGCAATCGCATCCACCATGGTCGAAGTCTGCTTCACTAACAGTTCGTTCACTTACCACGAGGGCGTGGAGATATTTGCAATGGAGGGCGGCTGGAACCACTGCACATCTACCATCCGATCCACCATTTAAACCAGCTGTGAGACCGTGAAGCCTTGGGACGCAGATGGCAAAAGTATTTTTATATTAACAAAAAGATGCTCTAGAAAAATCACCTTTAATAATTTTTCGTCAATGTGCATGTCTCCAAGGAGGAAGCGCATTAGTTTTAGACGTTTTGAGAGCTTCCGACCACCTACTGATTCCCCATTGATCGTCTGCTGGTAACGCTGACGGTCAGCTAAAGCGAGAAGACGACGAATCGATCGCTGGGACAATAATTTTACTCGCCTGACATTTCGAGGTCCGTTGTGGATTCATCATCAGAGACATAAGCAGAAAGCTTTAGCAGATACGGGTAGCAAATACACAGAAGTTTGCAGTATTTTTAGGATACAGTCAATACTGCAAACATACAACGACAAATAACGGTAATTGCCTTCTTGCGCGCTGATAGTTTTTTGACCGGATTGCGGGCTCTGAGAATCGCCTTGGACATGCCCAAATCCTGCAGCTCCTGCAGTTCTGTCTCAGGACGTACTTCACGCTTGACAGAACAATCTATCAGCATGTGAAGGGGGCACCAATGGGTTCGTCGATTTCGGGACTCATAGTCGAGGCGGTCCTACAGCGACTAGAGTTGCTGGTCTTCCAACACCACAGACCTAAATTCTGAGCGCGGTATGCGGATGACATCTTCGTTGTCAGCAAACAGGATCAGGTGCTAACTTTCAAGGAAAGCGTCAACAGCGTCTCCTCGGACATCCAATTTACGATGGAGGAGGAAGAGAACAACCAGCTGGCTTTCCTTGACGTCCTCGTCTGCCGCAAAGATTGTGGTGGCCTAAAGACGAAAGTATTCAGGAAAGCGACAAACACGATGGAATTACTGAATTACAACAGCAACCACTCAATCGGCAACAAACGCGGTTACCTAAGGGCGCTCTATCGGCGTGTTAAGACGCGCTGCAGCGAACTAGAAGACCCACTGCCACGGCAAGAACCATCTGGAGTCGTCTACAGGATATGGTGCAGTTGCGGACAAGGCAAGTATGTCGGAGAAACTGGCAGATTTGTAGCGGGTCGTGCCTGGCCGACTAGCTCGCGTCAAAGTGCACTTTCTCAAAGGCTTACCGATGCGGTTTCTCGAGGTCTCAATCAGCCAATCATAGTCCCCGCATCTACACGGATTGGGCAGGCGACGAATGGCATGCTTGCAGGCGTTCTCGATGAAAGCTGCCTCTTTGC